TTTTTTCATTAGGACATCTCCCGTGCTAGTTTTCCATACTCACACTTGCCTACTCATTGCATGCTTGCATGCTCAAAGCATGCTTGCGTACCCATCACTTGTATACTTACACTGCGTGCTTACCGCGTGTCAGTGTGTATGTGTAAGTGTCAATGTCGAAGTGTCAGTGTATGTAGTGCGACTGTAGTGGAAGTGTCAGTGTGTAAGTGTAAGTGTCGGAGTGTCAGTGTTCAAAGGATTTTCCGGAAGAACCCTTCGCAATGCTTTCGGGAATAACGTCCCACGTGGAAAGTCGTCCAGTTGGGGGACCATGCCTTCCACTTCGATGTGTTCGTCAAGAGTGAACCTGGAGATGTTGCAGAATCTCCTGCAGGGCATGGTGCTTCGGTGGTACGAGTGGTGGTACGTGCCCCCCATCGTTCTTGGACAAAAGATTCCAAATCAATGGCGAAGAAGAAAGACCGACTGAGGCGTGATTCTTCGCAAGACGCCGAGAAACATATTCTAAACATCCCGATCGCCTCACCTTCCGATGTGCGAACTGAGCACATGCAACTGAGCACGGCGCGAAACTGATCGAAGGTGACCTCGCACGCCTGACGTTTGTCAAGGAAATGGGGTCCAGACTCGAGACCGAGACGTTCTTCTATGTATAGGTGGCTTTAAGCAGTAGATGGCAAACCTGGGCCCCCTAGGTTGGGTACTAGGTTGGGTCTGATGTCTGTCTAGACCCCCTTGACCTCCTTCAACCTCCTCCCTCAGGGTGCCAATCGAACCTCAACAACCACTGGAGGTCCATCCGCGCGGAACGGAACCGGTTCATTCCTCCGTTCCAACTCGGTGCTTGGGAAGCATGTGGATATGCTGGAGTTCTGGAATTGATTTCTGAGCATCTCATAGGTGACTGGTCAGAGCTGACCTAGGTGGTCACTGCAACTCACTAAAACGGTAACAATTTCACTCGATCTCCAAGGAAGAACAAAAACGACACATAGGAGGCTCACGAACCTCTGTGTTCCCTATAGCCGAACATGCATGTATGGTATATACCATTCACCCCAATGTAGGTAAATATGGCATACGTGGAGTGTTTGGGATGAGCACTACCGTGTTTACACTCTGACTCACCTTCTGAGGAAGTGAATGGCATGGTCGCTTGGAAAACGACATTCCTTGGTCCAATTCCATGTTAGTGAGTCCCAGTTTGCGTCATCTGTCATTTCCATGTCATGTCCCACTTCCGTCTGTCAAAAAGCGAGCAGTTCCTTTACTGGTACTGATACTGGGCGCTGCTGTTGTACCGTGGTACCACGACCGTGGTACCATGTGGTGCCCCCTTCTTCAGTGTTGTCCCGAAAGGGCACCTGGCACACTGCAGGCCGGTCGGGATCTGCAGCTAAGGTCTCGATCATATCCTGCAAAGCTTGGTCGGAGATCTCCGAAATCATCGAGCTGGTTGTTGAGACGTCCTAGGGAGCTCTTCCAGTCCTCGACCAAACACACAAACGACATCAAACGACACGTCTTCTTCTTCGTTTGCCCAGCTCTCCCTCGCTCGAGTGGCCGCCCTCGGCCGCCCATCGATCCATCGATCGAAGGTGGCTCCTCGACATTGTAGAAGGTTTGCACCTCGGCACCAGAAACTGGTGGATGAGGGCCATGATCCCGAAAAACAAGGTGGACACGTGGTTGACACTCCCGAAAAACTCACGACCCTGACGTCCTGGCCTCCTGGAAGAGTGTAGGCTCCTCTACCAACCAGTGGGTTTTCAGGGTCCATGTTAGTCTTCCAGGGTGTAAGGATCCTGATAATATCTGTGACCCTGATCATCGAGAGGGATTTTTCGATGGGATTGGGGGTTCCATACCATTCCGGTGAGGATTGCTGCATGTTGGTATGTGCTTCATCTTGCTGGTCTGCAATGATCTAAGGACAATGGTCTCAATCTGTCTCAATCATGCCATGAGCCACATTATGCCGCCTTATCGCACTCCACGGGCGGGTGTCAAACTGGTCCCTGCTCCAGTTTAAAAACATGCATGGATGTGTTGTGACCCAGGTGAAACTAACCAAGTCACTACTGCAACCAAGACAACAAACAGCACAAATCCAGATCCATTCTGTATCCCACAGTGTCTCATCTACCCTCTTCGTCTTCTTCCTCTTCTTCTTCTTCCTCTTCCTCTTCTTCTTCTTCCTCTTCCTCTTCTTCTTCTTCTTCTTCCTCTTCCTCTTCTTCTTCTTTATCTTCCTCTTCTTCTTCCTCTTCCTCTTCCTCTTCCTCTTCCTCTTCTTCTTCTTCTTCTTCTTCTCATCCAGTGTTTGCATACGGACGATCCCCCCATTGCCCCAAACCCAGCTTAGCTCCCCACAGACCACACGCGGAATTTGTGCCACAGGACGGCGTCCTCCTTGTCCAGTTCATCCTCACCCGCTCCGCCGCGCAGGGCGCGAGTCATGCGCAGCGCGTCTAATGCGTGCGAAACGCGCGGCCCGTGCGCCTCATCGAGTCCGCGATCATTGGTTTGGTTCAGGGGATCTGTCAAGCTTCAAAAGCATGACATGCAGTGAGAGGCAACTGGATGATTTTTTGGAAGGCACCATATCTTCTTTAGCTGCCACTGTTGCACCAGGGCATGTTTAAATTGAATACCCCCTTGACAGAAGAAGAGCTACACTCAGTTTGGTAGCTGCATACCGCATACCTGGCAATCCATCCGGACTATACCCGCAAATCTCATGGCGAGTGGGTTCAAGTCTCATGAGCTGTTATGTCTCGCAGCACCATGAACCAAATGTATCCAAATGTGCCTGAAATGGCACAGAACGGCGGCAAAGTGATGGATCGATAGCTTAGCGACTCGATGGAACGTCAGCTCTCCGACCTGGATCAACAACCTGACTATACATGCACAGTCCATGTCACAGTATCTACGTGGGAATCCACTATTGTGGTCCCCAAATGGATAGTGACACGGTTTCCAATACATTTTTAGTGGAGATATCTTTTTCATATCTATTTGGGGGTCTATGTCTATATAGGAATTGCGAAGCTCAGGTCGACTTTAATTGGAATTCGAGCGCCAAGATTGTTCTGCAGCATGATGCGACTTGATGCTCATCTTGGCCAAAGGACTATCGTTTGTATCGAAGATCTGACTTGGGTAATATCTTCTTGACCTTGTTGACCTACCATGTGGGGTGGTTTATTACTCCGGTCTTCACATCAATTGTATGTCATTCCCAGAAACAGAGTATGATGATGAGCCAAAACCGTTCCCCTCAAAATCTGGATGATTTGGGTCTACCCTGCTAGCAGTAACAATCTGTAACAGTGGATGATGCTTGGCAGGGCGGCCTTCAAGATGATGCGTGATCAGCATCTTCACTGACTACTGTTCCAGGTAAGAACGGACAAAACCCCATTGATCATGACCAACCGTTACGGGCCGGGCCTATATAGGGACACCGTCGCTCGGTGGATGGCTCCCTCCCCAAGGCCGGCCGCCCCCTTCTGGGTGAGCCCGGCGAGGGTGATCTCCTCAGACCGGTCCTGGCGGTGTCTGGAGCCACGGAACCGGTTTCCACCGGTGGAACGTGTGGCGGTGCGGTACCCTGCGCCAGTGGCGGTACCCTGTTAAGGCTAGGGCTCCAAGCAAACGACTTCGTCCAGAAGGTGGCCCCTTACTGGCACCCACCCCAAGCACCTTCGAAATTCAGGTATAGTTGGAGTTTTGTAGGGACAGGTCTTCCATGGTTTCCCTACTGTTGCTGTGGAATAAGCACATGGCATGGCTTGGGAGGGTTAAAACCTGGTGTCTTTCAGCCAGGTACTGATCAGAAAGCACTGCTGTATCGGGGCGGGGGCTGAAGCACACCAGTGGATTCAAAACATTCCAACACTTCTTGCTTCAAGGGTTGAAGCTCACCCGCAAACCACCCCCAATGGGGCCCAACATGGAGAGATGCATTATAGCTAGGGGTCTACAGTATTGCAGGTGGTGAAACCGAGGTTCATGGAATGCCAGTTTGCTGGCATGATGAAAAATGATGAAAGCCAGAAATCTGACACTGAACATTTCAGTGTCCAGTCATGTCCAGTCTACCAGTATCACGCCTAAAAAACCTCCCCTCCTTTCCTAGCCAATGTCCTAGCCTACCAGGCCTACATCCCGGACTCCATGGAGCCGCCCCACCCACCCGGTCTGGACCGGGAGCGTCGATGGAAAACCCCACTGTCGATCGGTGCCCCCGGCCACGTCGATCTCCGCGAAGAGCTGCGGGATCTCGCTGGCCGGGTAGCCTCGTCCGTCGCCGTCCGTCGACCCACCCGGAGCGGGGTGGACCGCAGCGCCGATAAGGCGGCGGACGGACGGAACGGGGTGCCCATTGGTCCTTACAGGAGGTCCCAGGGTGAGGTTTTCGGACACTTTTAAAGACCAGAACAAAAGAGAGAAAAGGCATGGAAACAGTGCTGTGGGTTCTTTCTGACCCAGGGCAACCATGGCATCTTTTAGTCGGTTTTAAGCACTACGCCAATAAAAAAACGATATAATAATCACTGACAGTATGGTTTCAGTGTAGAAGCCACCTCCAATAAAGGCTTTCGGGACTGGCTACTCTCTCATCTTCAACCACAGTACATCGCCCTCAACATCCGTCAATACACTCCGAGTGAAACACCAACAGAGTCCAGATCCAGAAATTAAAACAAAAGTAGCTATCAACCAAAACTCCCACTTCCTGAGCGATAGCTCCAGAGGGGTTTATAGTGGCACACAGGTGCAAAAAGCATCTGCCAGTTTCCACGCTTGGAAACTCAGCTGTCGCATGCCCTCCATGAACTCCAGCCTCAGGTGGAAAAGCGCCAACCAAACACTCGGTAGCTTCTTGTGACGTTCGTAGCGATGGCCTCCAACCTACTTGCGATGGCCTCCATCGAGCATAGCGTCGTTGCTACTTGTAACTAGTAGCCATGCCCGTTGGCCGGTGTGGTCCGAAAAACGCGGGACGACTGCGGTTGGGACTGCCAATCTCAATGTTCTCCAATGAGGATCAATGAGGTATCAAGCCACATTGTCACCCCTCCCATTGCCACCTTCCCTGACAGAAGAATGATCTCGGACTTCAGGTTGAAGTTGAAGACCGGGGGGAGGGGAAGTAAGTCGTCTCAAGTTGGGTCTGAAATCACACTTACTAGTTGGGGCCTAGTATGCCTTCTGGACAGCATGCACCAAAGATATATGGCTCGAGTATGTAAAATCTATCAAGTTTCTTATGTCTAGGGCTCCGCTTCTTGCAAGAATTGTGATAAGTCCAGTGACAGGAGACCTTAGCTGAACTGATTCTGATACGTAGACAGCCTCCCACTCTTGCCCCGCATCATGTTGAACTAGATCCTGCATAAACTATACCTCATCCTTACAGTTGATTCCCTCACGTGGCATATCAGGAAAAAGTGGACCTGAATTTTAAGGAAACAACATGAACACTAAAAAGATTAAAAAGTAAGGGATCAAATCACCAACCCATACTATCCATCCCACAGCTCCACACCCTACAGCTCCGAAAAAGCAGCTCCACCAGCTCATTCAAGCTGCTTGTCGATCCTGTAGTCCACATTGGTGTCAAAGTACTTTAACCTCAGAACACACCAATGCGCTGTGCCCTGCTTGCCACGGCCGCACTGCGCCAATCCGCAAGCGATGCGCCACACGCGCGCGAAAACAGCCAGAACCTCTCTACCCCACGTGCCCGATATAGTCTGCACTTCAGTCGGGATGGAAGGGCGTCGGAAAGACGATGAACACGTCAAGGACGTGGACCACTGTATCGATGGATTCCTCTTGAGCTTTTCAGGCCTGACACCCAGTCCGTGACCGGCCTGTCCCCCCGTCACCGGGCGCCCGTGCCATGCTTGCAGCAAGGACCCACAGGACTCAATCAAGAAGCTCCGCAGCCGCTCCAGCGCCGAGACACCTCGCCGCCGTCCCGGTGGGAAAGAAGAGCAAATCCGGAGGGCAAGACCGCCCCCCCGGTGTAGAGTGTAGAAAAAAGATGAAAGCAGAAGTGGCTTCAAATTGGGTGAACTTCGAGAAGTTCCTGGAAAAAGATCGGTGTCCGGAGCAATGTCTGCCACGCAAACATGGTTGCGAGTGAGGGGAGGAATAAATGCTTGTGTTTTGTCCGCTGTTCAGTTCATGTGAGAGACATTGGAGCTGGAAAAATGTGTGTTTGTTTCGGTGTCCCACATCAGGTGTCTGAATTGCAATTGCCCTTGAAAGAAGACCCGCACCTTTGGCACAACCAATGGACTTGATGTGCCAAGCGGTTTGCGGTTCGACCAGTCGGGTCTAGGCGGGGCTAAGCCCACCAAATACCTCGAGATACCTGCTTGGGGCTCCTGAGTCTTCATATTCATTAATTCATTGACCATCATCTCCCAGTAGATGATGGGATGATGATGGTTGGTAAAATTTGGTAAATGCCTTTCCTCGTCTAAAATAGTGGATCATACGCATGTGATAAATGAAATTCTTTGCTGACTGGTATCCAGTTAATTCTTGGGACAAACCCAACATCTAATCACCCAAGTTGAACTTAACTACACCATTCTTCCGCGCTGGTGAACCTCACACCGAAACACAACGACAACGCCCTCCAAGTGCACCTGGGCTTGAATCCTCCATGATCACCGCAGAAACGGCCCACACACACTTGAGCCGGCAAAGCCGTTAGGAGCACATCGAGAGGCGCATCCGTCCGTCGAACGAGGGCCGTGCCGGGGATCTGCCAGCTCTTTTGCACTTCAAGTCACGGGATGCCCGATGCCAGGAACCCTAAACCCTAAATCCAACAAACCACCTAATTACCTGGATCATCACTGGATCCTCCAATTCTCCCAAACCAATCCAGACATGGCAATCCAAATGAACCCAACAAACCTCACTCAATTCACCAATCCAACCATGGCCATGCGACCGATCCGTTGGGATGGACCGGAGAGGTCCACCGGAGGTCCAAATGGGTCCCCTCCGTGGAGAGAACGAAAGGACCCTGAAAAACCCACTGGGTGTTACAGTGGTTTCAGAGGTTCGATGGCACTGGCACCCGAAGATGTTTTCTTTTCCTGGGTCCATATAAACCACCAAACTTGGGGATTGTGCCATATATATATATATATTATATAAATATGTATATTCTGACACCACTATAGATGAAAAGAGTCTTGCAAGGGTCTGCTCTTTTCACGGTCCATCTTAGTCTGCAGAGGAGGGTGAATATGTTCGTGTGGATCAGGTCCTCGCACCCCGAGGACTGGCAGGTAGGGCAGAAACGTGGGCATGTTCGAGGCTGAAGAACCATAGCAACGGAACTAGCAACGAAATATGTGTTCAAGTGACCAGACACGAGGCCAAACTGGACATGCTCCAGCCTGCAGCCGGTCCAAAGAAGACCAAACACCACAGTCGTTCGTCTTTGCCAGTCTTTCCGGACTGGTAGAAACTGCATTGCATTGCCCTTACCCTAGGGATCCAAGTACCTCCTCAAAAGGTACGACTGGACCCTCCTGGCACCCACCCCAGTCCCACCTTCTCAGAGGGCACTTGGATCCTTAGGGTTATGTAATATATGCCTTAGACCCGCAAAAAGAGAGGCCAGAACCCGATGCGAGGTGTGCATCACGGGTGTTTCCCGATGTCCAAACGGCGTTTGAGGAGGAAACGACGCACTCACTAAGGGTCCAAACAGTATCCCTAGAAAATTGCAGGCAGCAACTTAGATTCCAAATATTCAAAGTGCAGGTTACAAACAAATAGCGTTGGACGGATGGGCGTGGCTTCGGCGGTTTTTCGTGACTTCCTGGACTTTCAGAAAACGCATTATTCCTCAAAATCTTTGGAGGCGATAGCGTTGCAGTGACAGAGGAGATGGCACACAAAAGTGTTGTGCTTATGTTTGTGGATTGCTGGATCTGTGTGTATGGAATCCACATATACAAGACCTACCTCCAAAAGATGGTGGAACCTATACGGAATCCGTGTATCATTACCCGTGTGCATGCATGCATGCTACATACGATCTACCTCCGTTTACCACGGCCTGGCCGGGCTTTGGATGCATCCCGCTGCCGATCAATCGATCCTGTGCCAAGTCCTGTAGGTCCCATCGGGTCACGGTCCTGTACACGTTACACGTTCTCCGACTCACGACGACCATGGAAACGACCACCATCCTTGCGTTGGCAGGACATGTCCATGGAATGCTAGCAGCATCCACATCCATTCACCAGGAGTCGACATGGAGTTACGGGTGGTTCTTCGTCCCATCCAGTGAGTGGATGTGACAGTGGCACCCTGACTTCCGCCGTTCGTTCGGCACCCCGTCGAACGTGACGGCTGGAAGGAATCAAGATCTCCACTTTCCATGGGATGTGAGTCAGAGGGTAATCAACCTGCAGCTCTTCTGCAGGTCCTCAGCCTCGATTGTTTTCGAGGAAACCTCTCAGAGGTAATAGGCCTGGTGTTGATGCGGTTTCGCGCGGATTTCGCAACAGGGCGGCGCGAAATGGCGAATGGTTTTGATTTCAAGCCAGGCACCTCAACACCCACCAAAACTGATGGAAAGTAAGCACTCCTCTCCTCAAACTCCTCCAAAACCATCCGATCTGCTCAATCATAAATCTTCCACCTGGTTCTTCAAAGGTGCCTTTTGATCTCCTGGTTTGACGTCACAAGCAGGCCTATTTGACGTCGTGACTGGTCGCGACTCCAAAGAGCTCACAAGCTGCAGAAGCTGTATATAGATAGCTGTTGTGGCTTGTAGTGGGGGGCTATTTGAAACTCTCGTGCGAGGCTGACGGTCGCTCGTACTTGAGGGTGATCGGGCGAGCCGTGTCAGGGAAAAACAACCTGAAAGAACTCCGAGAGATGCAAGAGACCTCCAGGTCACTGGGGTTGAAATCGCCTAACCCCAACAAACTCAAACAATGTGCAGTTTCGAAACCCTCCTACTACACTTTGAGACTAAAGAAGAAACCAGGATTGCGTATTTTTAAAATATACCTCTCATGGGAGCTTAAAACATTGCCTTCACCGCTTTCACACAACTACAGTAACTGTAACTACTATGTGCACAAAAAACTTCTTGTGCTATAAAAACCCAGACTGGAATCCCCAACTTTCACTGAGAGCTCCCCACAGCTATCCACAGCCGGGCCTCCCTGCCAGGCACTTCTGGAAGGCGCTGGAGTGACCGCTCCTGCTCGGACCTCGCCGCACACCTCGCTCCAGGCTCCGGGCCTCCGCGGCTCGCAGTTCCAAGGCCTGGAGGAAACGGCGAAGTCGTTCACCGACGGTGACGGGCGTTCGGCGTGGCTTTTTGGCAATGACAAAACACCTGGCCCTGGCCCTCCGAAGGGCGAGACGAAGGCGATGATGGTGCGATGGTGCTCATTGATATATATATATATACATACATACATACATACACACATACATATATATTATATATAATCATTGGTATATGTGTTAACTTTCACCGCTTGTCGCGGAAACCCCTGAAACATGCGTTTCACACCCTTCACAGAACTGCTGACTCCCTTTAAAAAAAACATCAGTGCCTTTGCGCGACCTGCCCTCCGAGTGAATTGTTGGCTCTTTTTTTGGCACGCCTGTGCTGGCTGGAAGCCCGCAGTCCATAGCAAAGAGGCTAAAGCCCCTCCACTAATTTAGAGGGCCACACGGCCTTTCGCCCAACGTTTTTCTATGACTTTCACGACCAGGGACTTCCAAGGACCCTGGACGTTTCAACTAAATTAACTAAATTGAATTTTCCAGACCTAGGTAGCCTAGGTCCTAGACCATTGTTGGCGGCGTGACCCTAAGTGGCCCTCGTTTGAGGACTTTAATTTGTGAAGTCCTTGCCCCACGGCCCACAGCCCTACGGTTAAGTCACTTTAATCCTCCACCGAAATAGAGGCCTTGCACCTGGGGACCTAGATCTTGAAAGCTGGCCAGTTTGTGAAGTCTCGGTCTTTGATGTAGCCCGGCCGAAGTCCAAGTCCGAGTCGTTCATGTTTGAGATGTCCTGATCACTCATGTCCTTCTCATTTGAGATCTCCTTCTCATTGGTTGGGCCCAACTGGGTTCGGATCCGAAGAGATGTCATCACGTTGTCCTTTTGCGGAGCAGGCAGCAGCAGATCTCTCATAGTCATGTAGGCTGCATTATAAGCCACCCCGAAGATACCTCAACTTGGCAGGAGCTGGGCTGAGCCGTGACGAAATTTGGCCATCGCAACGGAACGTCACAATGGGTGTCCAAAGAACTAAAACTAACCAAATAGCCCGGGCAACCAGGGTAACTAGTTGGAAAAATGCAACAGCGACAGCGAAAGAGAAAATTGAAATAGATCTACAGCTAGCTAAGCCTGTTGCACCTGCCAATCACTCCGGTGTTCCCTCATGAACTTCCACCATTTGGCCGTCCATGACCGAAAAGCGAGCCCGTGACATCCAGCAAGGGCGAGATGGGACGGTGTATGATTTAAACTTCAAGTATGATAATGCTGCTGATTGTGCATGATTTTTCGGGAAGCAAAAGCAAATCCAGAATCATTGGACCGGTGCTCGGACCGGACCATCAGGATCGAGGTCAGCCAGAATGTCTGTGGCCGTCTGTAGGGCTTGCTGAAGCTGTGTCAGTGCGATGGTTGTTCTGTGCAAAAGCGTAGGAACATCCGGATAGTCTGCCATCGGTAGTAAGGAGCCAACAGGTCAGCAGCGGCGGCAGCGCTAGAAACCATGAGACGAGCAGCTTGCGAAGACGGTGCAGGAGCGTGCAAAAATGAATTACGGAGCAAATGAATTCCGTCGAGCCACAACCAGTCATGCAAGTCCCAAAACTCAAGAAACATCAAGAACAGGAAAAAGTCACATGATCTAACAAGTGGCTGAAATCGGAGACGCATATCGGCGTGCATCGAGGTTGAATTCGGCTTCGTGTGAGTGCGAGTGTGAGTGAAATAGTGAGAGTGAGAGTGAGTGAGAGTGGGTGTGAGAGTGAGAGTGAGAGTGAGAACGAGAAGTGCAGATTTCGGCGCAGGCGCAGTAGTTCTCTCTCACTCTCACTCTTCACCCGCGCTCACTCTCACTCTCACTCTCACACTCATGCTCACTCTTCACTCGCACTCACTCTCACTCTCAC